CAGAGCTATGGCATAGCTCTGCAGTGCCAGCATCCCATATGGGGGCCTGTTCGAGTCCTGGCTGCTCCACTTCTGATCCAGCTTTCTGCTATGGCCTGAGAAAGCAGTAGAAGATGGCCCAAGTCCTTGGGCCCCTGCACCCATGTGGGAGACTCAGAAGAAGCTCCTGGCTCCTGGCTTCAGATCGGCACCGCTCCAGCCATTGCAGCCAATTGGGGAATGAACCAGCAGATGGAAGACACCTCTCTCTGCCTCTTCTTCTCTCTCTGTGTAACTCTTTCAAATAAATAAATAAATGTTTTTAAAAATAATAAATAAATAAAAGCACAAGCTACAGAATGGGAAATAATATTTTGAAATCATTTCTTTCATAAAGAACCTGCATTCAGAATATATGACTATCTCTCAAAACTTAATAGGAAAAGAAAAATTGTAATTACAAAAATGCAAAAACTCTTTGGACATTGATATCAGCGCAGATTTTTCAATGCCAAAAAATAAACTCAGGAAATGATGCTCAATGTCATAATTGGTTACAGAAATAAGACTTAAAACAATAAGATACTACTAAACAGCAATTAGAGTGGTTTAAAAAATAACACTTCAGGGGCCGGCATTGTGGCGTAGTGGTAAAACTGCTGCCTGCGACACCAGCATCCCGTACTGAACACTGGTTCATGTCCCAGTTGCTTCACTGCTGATCCAGCTCCCTGCTAATGGCCTAGTAAAAGTAGCAAAAAAGGGCAGAGGTACTTGGGCCCACCGTCACCCCTGTGGGATACCCAGATAAAGCTAGTGGCTCTTGGCTGCAGCCTGGCCCAACCATGGCCTTTGTGGCCATCTGGGAACACACGCTCTATCTTCATCTCTCCCTCTCTCTCTGTAATCTTGACTTTCAAATAAAAAGACTTCAAAAATAAATAAAGAAACATTCATAATATCAATTGTTGATGAAGATGCAGAACAACTGGAACTGTTACATATTGTTGATGTAAATACAATATGTTGCAACCATTTTGAGAAAAATCTGATTATTTCTTAAAGTTAAATATGTACTTGCCATATAATAATGTGATCCTACACATTGGTATTTCTCCAAAAATAATTAAAACCTCTGCTCACATAGATAACTACATAAAAATGTTTTCAATGACTTTTTTTCATAATCACTGAAAATTATAAACGATGTCAATGTTCCTCAACTAAAGAAGAGTGAATAAGTAAACTGTGATAATATATCCACAAAATAGAAGATACACAGAAATAAAGAATGAACAGAAACACAAAATGCTTGGGTTGATCTTAAATGTATTTTGCTATGTGAAAGAAGCCAAAATGAGAAATGGTATACTATATTTGGCCATTTATCTCTCTATTTATTTTGAAAGTCATAGTTACAGAGAGAAGTGGAGAGACAAAGACAGAGAAAGACATCTTCCATCCAATGTTCTTCCCCAGATAGCCACAATGGCCAGCACTGGGCCAGACTCAAGCCAGGAGCTTCATCCAGGTCTCTCGTGTGTGGCAGTGGCTCAAACAATTGGGTCATCTTCTGCTGCTTCTCACAGGCCACTAGCAGGGAGCTGAAATGGAAGTGGAATAGCTGAGACACTAACTGGTGCCCATAGAGAGTGATGGTGTCACAGGTGGCAGCTTTGCCTGCTACACCACGCCAGCCCCTGTGTGATGCCATTTAAAAACATCATTCTGGTAAAGGTAAAATTATATGGAAGGAGAACTGACAAGTGGTTTCCAGAAGTTGGGATTCATGAAGAGTTAACTCTAAAAAGACACTGAGGAAGTTTTTTTTTTTTTTTTTATGGAAACGTTTTATCTTGATTGCAATGGTGCTCCTACTATTGTTAATGCTCGGCAGATCTGCCAAAACTTGTAAACCATACACTGAAAAGGGAGATTTTTATGAATGTAAATGATACATCAATTGAAAGATAAGTTAAATGAGTATATATAACATTAGATAGTGATGATTGCTGAGAAAAAAAACTGAATCGGGGGGAGGGGATAAAAATGGCCTACAATGTTTGTGACATTTTAGATGGAGGTGGTAAGGAAAAGGAACTCATGGAAGAGGTGACTTTTGAGGAAAGACCTGAACGAAGTCTTGCATGTTTAAGGAAGAACAAAGCAGTTCAAAGGGGGCTGAAAAGAATGAGCAAGACAGAAGCAGAAGATGATTCAGAGTTGAGTCAGGAATACCAGGGGAACGAGTGGTTGTTACACAGGACTCCACAGGTCACAGTGAAGCTTTGACTATTACTGGGAATTAGAAAGCTATTAGAGTGTTTCCAGCAGAATGCTGACATGAGCTGGTTTGTATGTTAGCAGGATCATTATGCCTGCTGTGTTTAAAAGAAAAGAGTCTATATAAGACTGACAAAGAGGTTATTGCAATAATCCAAGAAAAAGATGGAGTCTTAGACCATCTGACCTGGTATGTGTAGAGAGCCCATGGATATCAGTTTGGGACATTTAAATTGAAGATGGCTATTATACAGCTTAGTAGAGATCTCAAGTGGGCAATTGAATGCCTGAGTCTAGAACTCAATAAGAGGTTCTAATAAGAGATCAAATAAAAAGTACACTAACAGAAATGAAACTACATGAAATGACCATAGAATGAAAGTACTTAGAAGCAGAAAAAGTCCAAGATCCAGGCCTTTTTACCATATATGCCTCAAAAATATAATTATAGAGATAGATGGACCAAGAGACTAAACATGATAAGTGTAGGTACAGATACAGGGAAAATAATAGCAATATAAAATTAGGACAAAATACCACAAAATCAAAGTAAAAAATATTAAGTAGAAAAAATATAATAATTGAAATGAATGACACAGTGGTCCAAATAAATAGTGGGAGAGACATAGCCAATAAATAGATTAGCACAATAAAATTTAAATTTAGAAACTCCACAGAGTGCAGCAATAAAGGAATATGACAAAAAGCTAAGAAAAATAAAAGACTGGAAATAAATGTGCTAGAATCCAGAATAAAAGAGTCTGTAAAACGAGGGCGAAATGAAGCTGAGAAAATATATTAAAAATAATGAAAGCAATTTTTCCAGAACTAAAGATAGATGATCTCAAGCAAAAGATCTCACAGAAAAACTGAAAGGGGAAAAATGAACATCTAGATACGTTTTAGGAAAAAATAAGAATATCACACACAACAACAATCTCCAGGAGGCTTCCAAACATAAAGAAAAGGTCACCCGAAAATGAGCAAACCAACAAATTTAATGGAGAAAAATAATGGGAAAATACTTCTGTACTTTGGAAGGAAAATCATTTTAGCCCTCAATTTTCTATCCAACAAAACAGTCCATTAATTTTAAGGTCATAATGAAAATTTTCTCTGGCAGACAAATTTTTTAAAAGATGTGGCAGTTAATATACAATACAAAAATTATATAGGAATGAAATGGACATTTTATGATATGATTGTCATTTTTAGCCACTGTTTATTCTCCTGTCGAACTGTGGTTTTACTACATTTTACATGTTGAATATTATGGCTAGTAGTGAATTAAGTCTGTGAATACAGAGTGAATTAAAATTATTTCTTTGAAAAAAAGCAATAAAGAGATGGGAGGAAGGGGAGAAAATTGGGGAGCGGGGAGCAAAGGTTATTTGTCTTCTTGGAACTGTATCTACGGAATGTATGAAATTTGTTCTCTTTATATTAATTATAAAATACAAAAACAAGTACATGGAGACCAGCATTTTGCACAGTGGTTAAGATGCCATTTAGGAATCTTGCATTCATATGATACTGTCTGGGTTCAGGTCCCAGCTCTCCTTATTCTAGCTTCCTGCTGATGAATATCCTGGGAGATGACAGGAGGCAGCCACTCACGACAGAGTCCCAGATTGAAGTCTGGACTCCTGACTTTTGGGCTGGCTCTGCCACAGCTGCTGTGCCATCTGGACAGTGAAAATAGCACATAGGACATCTTTGTCTGTGTCACTCTGTTTCTCTACATTTCACATAAAGAAAGAAAGGGGCTGGCGCTGTGGCACAGTGGGTTAAAGCCCTGGCCTGAAGCACCAGCATCCCATATAGGTGCCGATTCTAGTCCCAGCTGCTCCTCTTCCGATCCAGCTCTCTGCTATGGCCTGGGAAAGCAGTAGAAGATGGCGCAGGTTCTTGGACCCCTGCACCCACACAGAAGACCTGGAAGAAGCTTCTGGTTTCTGGCTTCAGATCAGCACAGCTCAGTCCGTTGTGGCTGGGAAGTGAACCAGCAGATGGAAGACCTCTCTCTCTGTCTCTACCTCTCTCTGTAATTCTGCCTTTCAAATAAATAAAATAAAAATAAATCTTTTAAAAAATAAAAAAAAAAAACAAATAAAGAAAGAAAGAAAATTAAAAGACAAACATTGAATGATATGTTCAAAGTATTGGAAAAAAATTTCAACATTTATCATTATAGAAAGATATGCAAGTAGCGGTTATAAGTGATATGGAAAGTAGAAGTAATTTCTTAATACTTGTTATAAAGTCAGGAAAGAAAATGTATACAGTTTACCCAGATCTGAAGTGTGAATACAACATAATGAGGAGTGGGTGTCAGAGCTAGTGAACAATGGGACATGAAAGTGTCGAAGTGCTTTCTCATTAAGGAAAAGGAAGAGATAGATACTGGCAACATAGTAAATGAAAATAAAATGATGTGCTTCAGGAAAACCTAGAATGAGAGAATGGGCCCCTACAGGAAGACAGTGCCAAGAAATCAAAGAAAGAGTCAGACAAATCCAAGATCACACCAGGATTTACAGACAGAAGTGTGTCTGGGATAGCAGCAAGACATTACGATCCCATGGTTTTACAGACAAAGGGAGCCCCTGGCTAATCAGAATGCACCTGTACTGTCTCAAGAAATTTGACATTTCAGATATCTGATAAGGGGACATTTCAGGATTCAGATTAGAACAGCACATTATTTTAACAATTTAACAATTTTGTTTATTTCACAGGCTTCAAGATGACTGACAGGGCCACCCAGAGGGCCAAGAAGGCTACAGTCCTGCCAACCTGGATCCCTGCAGGATGGAAAAAGATATACTATACCAAGGCAAGGTACTTCAAAAAGTTGTGTAAAATAGAATTTAAAAATAAGTTTATTTTGGTGCAGCAAATTTTGAAATCCGTACCTCATTTTATAATAACTTTTCCCTGAACTTTTTGAAGAATGCTTATATGAATTAAATAAAACACAGTCAGAGCCATTAATACATGATAAAGACATTTAAAGCAAAAATATGTTGTGAAGAAATCGATATTAGACATGTTTGTCATGATAAAGAAAGCAATAGAATAGGTTCCATACTGTCTTGCATAATCATATATGTACTCAGCCATATAAGTTTAAAGTATAGCAAGCAATAATCAAATTATGGGAGAAAATCATGAGGTCAGTAGTTGCAGCTGGAGGTTATAATAATTCCTCTCAGAAAAATGATATGTCGAGCAGCCAAAAAAGAAAGAGAAATATTGAAACATAACAATTTAATTAACACACTTGAGCTACTTAATATACTATATATAGATCACAGAACATCTGCAATCTCAATGAATACTAAAGAAACAACACAACATCTTATTATGTATCCAGTAACTAACATTAGAATGATTTTATTTTTCTAATTATAATATTTTGTACATGAATATTACAGAATTTTAAGGAAATTATCTGACAACAAAGATTGAGCAATTTTTAAAATCACTATAATGAGTCAAATCTTGATAAAGACAATTACAGTTCTTTTAAAGTAATTATAAATAATAAGACACAGAAGATACAAAATTTTAAAATCTAAAGATTCAATGCTACCATAAACAGCTATCATTTTTATGCAAAGTTAATTTTTCTTTTTTTTTTTTTTTTTTTTTTTTTAAAATTATAAATAAGTATGCTCTTTTATTCTGGAAGAGATGAGATTATGACTGGATGCAGTGAGATTTCTCACCTTCTTATACTATTTTCTTTTTTTTTTTTTTTTTTGTTTTTTTTTTTTAAACTTTTATTTAATGCATATAATTTTCCAAAGTACGACTTATGTATTACAATGGCTTCCCCCCCATACCGTCCCTCCCACCCACAACCCTCCCCTTTCCCACTCCCTCTCCCCTTCCATTCACATCAAGATTCATTTTCGATTATCTTAATATACAGAAGATCAGCTTAGTATACATTAAGTATGGATTTCAACAGTTTGCTCCCACACAGAAACATAAAGTGAAAAATAATAGATGATTTTTTTTAAATGATGATGAAATCAGAGCAGACCTATTGTCATGTTTAATCCCAGTGAGAGTCAAGTTGGGAATTGATAATTTCTTTTTTTTTTTTTCTTTTTTTTTTTTTACAGAGGATCAGTTTAGTATGCATTAAGTAAGGATTTCAACAGTTTGCACCCCCATAGAAACACAAAGTGAAATATATTGTTTGAGTACTCGTTATAGCATTAAATCTCAATGTACAGCACATTAAGGACAGAGATCCTACATGAGGAGTAAGTGCACAGTGACTCCTGTTGTTGACTTTACCAATTGACACTCCTGTCTATGGCATCAGTAATCTCCCTATGCTCCAGTCATGAGTTTCCAAGGCTATGGAAGCCCTCTGAGTTCTCCAACTCTTATCTTGTTTAGACAAGGTCATAGTCAAAGTGGAGGTTCTCTCCTCCCTTCAGAGAAAGGTACCTCCTTCTTTGATGGCCTGTTCTTTCCACTGGGATCTCACTCGCAGAGATCTTTTGCCAGAGTGTCTTGGCTTTCCATGCCTGAAATACTCTCATGAGCTTTTCAGCCAGCTCCGAATGCCTTTAGGGCTGATTCTGAGGCCAGAGTGCTATTTAGGACATCTGCCATTCTATGAGTCTGCTGGGTATCTCACTTCCCATGTTGGATCACTCTCCCCTTTATTTACTCCATCAGTTAGCGTTAGCAGGTACTAGACTTGTCTATGTGCTCCCTTTGACTCCCAGTCCCTTCACCATGACCAACTGTGAACTGAAACTGATCACCTGGAACAGTGAGATGGCATTGGTACATGCCACCTCGATGGGATTGAATTGGAATCCCCTGGTATGCTTCCAACTCCACCACTTGGGGCAAGTCAGCCTGAGCATGTCCCAAATTATACATCTCTTCCCTCTCCCATTCCCACCACCATGTTCAACAGGGATCACATTTCAGTTAATTTTCAACACTTAAGAATAACTGTGCATCAATTACAGATCTAAACCAGTCATATTAAGTAGAACAGATAAAAAAACTACTAAGAGGGATAATGTATTTAGTTGTTCATTAACAGTCAGGGCTATGCTGATCAAGCCACCATTTCCCATAGTGTCCACCTCACTCCAACAGGTTTCCCTCTTGGTGTTCAGTCAGTCGTCACCGATCAGGGAGAACATATGGTATTTGTCCCTTTGGGACTGGCTTATTTCACTCAGCATGATGTGTTCCAGATTCCTCCATTTTGTTGCAAATGACTGGATTTCGTTGTTTCTTACTGCGGTATAGTATTCTAAAGAGTACATATCCCATAATTTCTTTATCCAGTCTATCGTTGATGGGCATTTAGGTTGGTTCCAGGTCTTAGCTATTGTGAATTGAGCTGCAATAAACATTAGGGTGCAGACCTCTTTTTTGTTTGCCAATTTAAATTCCTTTGGGTAAATTCCAAGGAGTGCGATGGCTGGGTCCAACGGTAGGGTTATCTTCAGGTTTCTGAGGAATCTCCAGACTGACTTCCATAGTGGCTTGACCAGTTTGCATTCCCACCAACAGTGGGTTAGTGTCCCTTTTTCCCCACATCCTCGCCAGCATCTGTTGTTGGTAGATTTCTGCATGTGAGCCATTCTAACCGGGGTGAGGTGAAACCTCATTGTGCTTTTGATTTGCTATTTGCCCTGATTGCCAATGACCTTGAACATTTTCATGTGCC